TGGAAGACTATTGTGGTGAATGGTAAAAATGTTTGGGCAAAATGGAAAATGGCACGTTTGACAAGGGTAAACTGAAAAGTATCCCCATCCACTTGTGTGCCGTAAAGCACATAAATATTTATAGCTGTGCCACCAAGATCATTTTTTACAAGTAATAATGAAATAAGATTTATTCTCAATAAATTTAAAATTGATTACATAATTTTTTTTCCTCGTTGTGGTTAGTGGTACAAGGTTAGATTCATGATCTTTCAGTTCATTAGCCCACAATATTCACGATCTTGTTGACCTAATGTGAGTATTGCTCGAGTATCATAACATGTTGGCTTAAGCTTCCAAATTAAATCCTACTAGGATGAGAATTTATAGTAATTAAATTTATCCAAATCTCATGCAATTTAAAATCTGAGTGATGCTAGTCGTCATATGTGGCATACATGTGATAATTTTTTATTGCCTTATACATCAAATTATTAACCGCTACATGTATGCCACGTAGGGCAACTGCGATAGTGAGGGACTGCAAATAACATTATTTTTAAAATCTCTACCATTCTTATATATGTCCAGAAGTTTATGACATCTGGTATAATTTAATGAATTTTTTTTTTTTGAAGTACATTATAATGAGATCGCGCAAACAATCAAACTTAAGAGTTGGAAGTTTTGCAGTTTGATGTAATTTTCGGCCATAAGTTGCTTCCTTAAATTATTGAGAGGCATGAAATGAATAGGGGCCAAGCCAAGGCATGACTGTTTTTGACAAATGAAGTTGATCAACTCCCAGATATTTCCATAACAAATATTAATATAATCAAAATATCTCTTAGGATGTTTCATTAAAATAATCCCTTTTAAAATCGTATTTGGACCAACAAGCAAAAGAAAGAAATAAGGTTTTGCACTTGAAAATGACCAAAAATAATTGGTGGTCTAACAAATACAGCATATTACGTTACTTGAATTTATAGAAGGGCAAGAATTGCAAGCGATTGAATAATGTTAATTATGGATTTAACCCATCAAAGTACTTTCAATAGTATTATTGTACAACATAATGTTAATTCTTCGAAATAAGATTTTCAATTAGTTCAAGCTTACCAATTGAAACCATAAAATTTAGGAAGTTACAGGTTAAATAAATGCAAAGGGTAGAAAAATTATTCAAATCTTACCTTACGGATTAATAGTAGAAAAATTTTCAAATGCAATATACATCCTACCTATTGGAAATCGTAGAAAACCCTCATGTTTGAAACAATAAAAAATATCAAAATTAAAAAGAAATAATTACAGTTTCAGTACCCAAACTTTTTATTTTTTTGCAAATCATACTCAATTTTTTTATATGTGCCAACCATAATTTTAAACCTTTAAAACTTTATTTTCCTCATCCTCTTCTCTAAAACTTTATCATTTTATTCAATCCCTTTCTAAATCCTTCACTCTAAATTCCCCAAACAAGTATCACATTTCCTCGACCCAATACCTAAAGAGTATTCATCACTATCAACTCACATAAGTACTAGAAGATCACTCTAAAGGCTGACGAATCGACCATAGAAGCTTCTTCTGACTGACTGACTGACTGACTAAACAAACCTCTTGACAAGTCAAAACCACAAATTAAGACATTTGAACCACAATTTTTTTTTGCCATATTAAAAAGACCCCTAACAAGAGGTTAATAATCCTAAATAAAATAATGAAGAAATTGGCCGATCAAAAACCTCCAGCCTTCATATCTATCGGTTAAGAAGAGTCGCATGAATCGTAATCTACGGCACTGATGTCGCGGCAGAACTCTTTTGCACCTGATGACATCTCTTCCTCGTGAAATCTTCTCAAGGATTCCAAAATACTTGATTCAGATAACCCCACCCCATACGTTTTATCAGATTCAATTTTCCGGATTTTTGGTGGAGCGAGCAACGGCTCTACTTCTTCCACCACCAACTCTGCAGCGCCAAACGGCGGTGTATGCACATCAGGTTGAGACGACGAGCAGCCGTGATCTTCCTATCGTTTTAAAACCAAAATTTCATAATTACGATCTCAAAATTCGAAAATAAATTGAGTAAAGAAAATCGAAATCTTCAAAAATTATTTTCTTGATGAACAAAATGATGCAAAAAATACCAAAAAAATGAAATTTTTTTTTTTTAAAAATTCATACATTTGAAACTTCCTCACGCATTCGCTTCCTTCGAACCTCTCTATCTCCGATTGTCGACCCTTCGCAACTTGAAGAACTCGCAGGCGGCGGAGATGTCGATGACCACAGTACTACCTGATTGTCCTCCTCTTCGTCCTTACCAGCAGGTTCAACTTCGTTTTCCACATTGCTTTCATCATCATCTACTTCTTCCGTCGCGACGGTTCCATTGACACACTTTCCACACACACAGACGGTGGGTGCTAGTTTCCCACCGGAGGCAGACCATGGCATCGGGGACAGACATACGTGACAAAGCAGATTCCTATAATGCCTAGCCACCAGGAAGTTTGCCGAGTGCACCTTCACGTCGCAGTCCCAGCACAAACTTGCGTGGTCTGATTCACAGTAAATCGTAGCCATTCCTTTACACAACGCGCACCTCATCTTGCCTAAATTCCCAAAAATCCTCTCGAATTTTTAATCTTGAGGCCAAAAAATGGTGAGAGAAAATGGAAAATTGGAATAGAGGGTAGAGGGGAGAAAACTGATGAGAAAGAAGAGGCAACCTCTACAATTCAACCTGCAGTCAGCAACTCGTAAAAGACCTTTTTACATTGTGTTATTACCCAAACTGCCACAGAACGCGAAATAGCTTGTTTGGGCAATTCTCACCCAGTCCCCAAACATAACGCGTCTCACTTGGGTACCTATTTATTTTTCTGTTGCATTTAGGTCCTCACATAATCTCGTTTGGTACACATAAACACAAATAGACTGAAATAGTTCAATTTTCCGTCAAATCATCATTTGAAAAGTACGTGAAACATTCTTTCAAGGGTATTTTTGTATAATATAAGGTCCCCTAAAAAAAATTGTTTTTTGAATAATATTAACTTGAAAAGTTTGAATGGATTTTCTTTGAGAAATAAAAGAAAATTAATGGAAATAAATTTTCAAGAAGAAACAAAAGAAGACCAGTTGGAATTTGTGGTCGTCCCTCTATAGACCACGAGATTAGAGTGCAGGGCAAAAGCTAAGGAGGAAAAATGTGAAATGAAACATGGTGGACTTAGATTTAACGAAATGATGATCAAAATGGTTTTTGTCTAAGTATAATCTGAGGTCCCATGTAAGAATGAAGTTCACGTGACTTTCAAGTGATTATTTGATGGAAATTTGAACGATTTCCATCCAATTGTTTGTATCTAACCTAGAAAAGCAACAATAAAATGAAAGGGACCCAAGTGGCACAAGTAATAATGTTAAGGGACTGTAGATAAGAATTCCGTAGTTGTAGAAATAGACAGGGGCACTAGTGTGATTTCAACGTGGCGACGGATATGTCTGTTGACGGTGGCAATTTGTGTGTCAATGAAACGACAGCGTATTTGGAATAGGGGTTGTGTTTCCCGTAGCCGGTGCAAAGAATATTTTGATTGGTTGGTAATGACGTGGCAGAAGGGAGATTTTGATTTGCTTACTTGGGCACTCTGCTTTCGAATCAGGGGCCATGGACCACGAGATGTTCACCTGATTTGTGATTTGATAGCAATGGTGTAAATTCATGGGAGCTAACCCTGATTTGAATTTTGAACAGAGATCAAATTTTTCATAATTTCATTATTTTCAAAATATATTTCAATCACTTTTTATTTTAATCATATATTTTTCAATAAAATAATATTACATGTGAAAGCAAATTTTTTCCTTATTTTTTAATTACACATTTTTCATCAATCTACTATTTTAAAATGCATTCTTATTATAAAATGGGAAACAAATAGCTCCAAACAAAGTAACGACATTTTAGTAGAACACATTTTCCCTTTTAAAAACCAAAACACCAAAATCAAACGAAAAATATAACCTTTTTTCGCAACACGCCACCCCATCCCATCCCATCCCATCCCATCCCACCTTACATACCCTACCCTACCCAAAACCAAATTCAGAGAGTCACCTGCCACCCGTCACTTTATCTTCTTCCCCAACAAAAAAATAACACAAGAAATTTTTGCAAAGAAACTCTTTGCCACCCAAAATTTTCTGCAAATCAAAATCAGAAATTCCCCCTATACACCAGAAATATGTAACCTATTTATCC